CATCACCTCACATGTAAAAAAACTCTTTCCACTTCATAGAAATCATAAAGAAACAAAACTTACAGCCCAGTGACCTACTCGTGAGTTTTGATGTCGTATCACTCTTCACCCAAGTACCAATCAAAGAAGCCTTAACAGCCATCCAAAACAAATACAACCCCCCCAAACACATCCTGGATCTAACCAACCACTGCCTATCTAACACATACTTCATTCCCATGTGGCCAGATTATGAAAGTGTCGTCTACATATCTGAGCCAGAGTTTAGGTTTGTGATCAGATTTTTCCAGGGCTTGGGTTTCGAAGTTTTCCATGTAGAGATTGGCAATGACAGGTGAGAGGGGTGATCCCATGGGTGCTCCTTCCATCTGTTTGTATCTTTGTCCATTGTGAATGAAGTATGTGTTAGATAGGCAGTGGTTGGTTAGATCCAGGATGTGTTTGGGGGGGTTGTATTTGTACAAAATACTATATATTTTTTGTTCTGTTCTGTTCTGTACTGTTTTGTTGGCATCCCATTCTCTGCCTACTGATTGGAATCATTTAATGAGTGCACTGATATCACAATGCTTTGGAGTAAATCAGATATGGCTTTGTCGGACTGCCAATGAATACATGAAACAACATTAACTTCCCTTACCAGAAATACTTCTCTACATTGTCAAGGCTTCCAGCAGAAGAGGTTTGCTACATACCCTTTCTGCTATGCAATTCCGGCAGAAACGGTCAAAGAGAAGAGTCTTTTCCTATGTGGCCCTGACCTGTGGAATGTTCTACCACTGTAGGGGAGAACTGTCCCCATTCTTTTGGACTCCTGGAAGAATATTAAAACTTGATTTTGCCTGTTGGCTTGGAACCACAAGGGGGAATTTGGAGGTGATTGATGGAAGAAGAAGACTTCATCCTCCTACTATTTGTCTCCTGGATTCTAGTTTTCCGCATAGTTTTAAAGCTTTTAATTCATTTTCTATGTTCTACTAGCCACCCAGAATCACCCTGTGGGAAAAATGGGTGGCATATAAATTTAATAAACAAATAAGTAGCAGCAAATAAACTACTTCATGAAAAGTACTCCCATAACAAGGTCAAATTCAGATAGTTCAAACCCAGATCACAGAATTTTGAGACTTCTTGCCAAAGAATGTTATCACAAGTTTTGCCAGCTTAGAGCCATTGCAATCACATTGCAAAGCATAATTCTCCTCTCCTGGAAAATCAGGGGATCCTATAGTGCTTTTCTGTTGCCACCAATTAATATAAAGCCATCAGATGTTTTTTCTTTCCTCAGACTGGATAAAATGGCATTAGAGTGTAACTTTCTTCCTCTGAGAATGGCACCAATTGTAAGCCCATGAAACTGGAGGACTTAAGTGTGGGGTGGAAAGCTAAGCCAAGTAGCTGCTAACTCAGCTCCAACTGAAGCAAAAATGTTGTGAAGATCATTTCGCTGCATTTCCTCTGGAGTTGTACTATGGGTGATTTCCCATTAGTAAGAATTCCAGTCTTGACTTGTCTTCTGATACTATGGATTTTATCATTCCCTCCTGCCATGAAGGTCCCTTCTGCTCTCTCCCTGAACAATAATAACCATTTGTACTGTTTTCACTGCATTCTTTCAGTGACCATACAGATGCAATGGCTGACTATCTAGGCTATACATGAAGTGGCATAAAAATGCAGGAAAGACTATGAAAGACACGGCTGATGGTTGTGTAGAAATGCCATTCATCTCTTTAATCTGTCAACTCTTTGGAAGAAAAAAAATCTTATTCTACCAAAAGCTAGGCACTACATTAATAATTTTGCATATAAAAGGCAAAAACTTTTCATCTCACCATAGTTAAAATGGATTAATATTTCCCCAGACTTAACACAGAAGTGAAAATAAGTTTCAACAAGGAAAAAAGGAAGGAAAGAAGGATGGAAAAAAGAGAAAGAAAGAAAGAAAGAAAGAAAGAAAGAAAGAAAGAAAGAAAGAAAGAACATCTGATTTTGGAAATGTTAATGTTATTGCACTGAATGATCTACTTAGTTTATGATGTAAAACAATGTATGAGTCAGAAACAAAAAGGGCTTTCAGACTCACAAGCAGAAAAAACATATGATTATATAATCCCAGTTAATAAAAATGGTATCTAAATAACCAAATGAAACAAGGTTAATGACATAATAAGATATAGCAATGGAAGAGGAAGTAATAGGGGCAGGGAAGTAGAATAAGAAATCCAAAGCTTTTCAAGCCAAATATTTACTGAATAACCTACATGAGCCAAATATTCACTATTTTAAAAAACCTACATAAAACTCAAGAGGATATTTATATTTTATTGTGAACCTTCCTATTTTCCAAAAAATATATGAAGAATTAAGTACTCAGGGCTGACCTAGAATATAAGCTCCCAGCAGTCAACAAACACATTACAGTATTGGACAATAGTAGATTTATAACTTCATATGTTATCAATCACTTCATATGTTACCAATAATACATATTCTATATATTACACTGACACTTGAACAGTGTTTCTCAATCTTGGCAACTTTAAGATATGTGGACTCCCAGAATTCCCCAGCCAGCCATTGGAGTTGAAGTCCACATATCTTAAAGTTACCAAGTTGAGAAACACCACACTAGAAGGATATGATTTCTTTCTAAAATATGGCTAGGATACCAAAAGGCATAGTGTGGTAAAGGAGAACAGAAAACAATTTAGGGAAAACTAACAGTGATAGTTAATGGGAATACAAAGAAAGATAACGGTTGTGTGTAATAGGCATAGCAACCAAAACACCAGCTGATCTCTTCCAGCTGTTCTGCTGGGTGAACATGCTTCTTCATTCCACCAAGATCATTTGCTTGTGCTATCATATAAACCAGCACTCCAAGGATATGCTCCTTTGCCAGGACTGGAAGAGCCGTTGCTCACATTCAGCAGCCCTAGTCTTGAGGTCTTAAAAAATATTTTGCATGACTAGGAAGGATTAACACGGTTTGTAGCCCCTGACATTATTAAACATCTTTCTATGGGCATTGCATCTAAGTGCCAAACTCAAAGGAGCATATGCCTAGATCTTGCAATGCGTTGTCGGTTTTTTTTAAAACTTGGTTGAATTTGGGATTGACAAGATAAGGTATGCAGGCACAAGGCTCCATGGATCCTCCAGATTATATTTAAAATATATATATTTAATTACTCTTTTAGCATTTCATGACATGTCTATGTTCCTATGAGATATAATGGAAGTGAGATTATTAAAACAATAGAAATTGCACTTAAGAATACTTGTGTGTGCAGGTCACATAGGATGCCACATTCTATATAAAGAGCTGCTGAACCCTGTTATAAACTCTGTATATTCGAAATGCACAGAATCTCATGATTGCAGGAGAGGAGAAAGTTTTCATAGATAACAAATGTAATCCATTCTCTTGACACACCATTACCAATCAACTAACCAGAAATTCAGATGCTTACCATTATGAGACATTCCAACTGCAAGGCACTTTTGGAATCGGCAATATTGACATTTATTTCTACTTTTTTTATGAATGCGGCAGTTGAGATCACATCGATCATAGATTAATTTTAAACGGATTGTTCTGCGAAAGAAACCCTTTAATAAAAATAAAGGAATACAAAATATATTAGACTTAAGGAATTTCCCACCATATCAGATTTAATTTGAAAGACAATCATGTATTTTTGGCTAGAAATATTTTCATTGTATTGTGGATTTGATCACAATCTTTAATATTGTTGAAATCTGTGTTCTCAGTATTCATTCAGAACAAAGCAATACGATATGTGTCTATGTGCATTTTAAATATTGCATTAACATAAAAGGAACTTTTTAAAATTCCAGTAGAATTTACTTTATGATAAGCTCATTGGAGCTTAATTAAGATATCTACAAGAGTTAAGTATACTAAATAGAGAATTTGTGTGTGCATATGTATGGAATAGAATCAAGATCACATGAAGTGTTAATACCACTTTATAATGCCTTGGTAAGGCCACACTTGGAATACCGCATTCAGTTTGGGTTGTATAAAAGATGTGGAGACTCTAGAAAGAGTGCAGAGAAGAGCAACAAAGATGATTAAGGGACTGGAGACCAAAACATGAAGAATGGTTGCAGGAACTGTGTATGTCTAGTTTAATGAAAAGAAGGACTGGGGGAGACATGATAGCAGTGTTCCAATATCTCAGGGGTTGCCACAAGAAGTGGGAGCCAAACTATTCTCCAAGGCACCTGAGGGTAGAACAAGAAGCAATGGGTGGAAACTAATNCTTACCTGCTTTTAAGCCAACTGGGCCATTTGTGCATACGTGCGCAGCATACGGCGACTGAGCAACCTCCGCCAAGCAGTTGGAGCATCGCAGGGCAGTGGGTGCACATGCGTGCACAGCGCACGTGCCCAAGGTGGGCGCCCGGCCCCGTCGCAGCATACCGGTTGCAACAGGATCCAGAACCCACCACTGAAGCCTATCCTATTGGCTACACACACTTTCACATTGTCTTGTTTTCATTTCTGCAGCCCCCTGGGGGGAAAAATCAGATTATTCATTGCATCACAAAGTGCTGAGAGCAAAGAATAAAAATTACTGTCTTCACTGCCAAAGATGATGCAGACCCACAAGACTGCCACAACAACAAAATATTTTCACTTCATGTTAAAGAGGAACTCAATTAACAATTTAAGATTGGTGCTTTTCATGGCAGTTTCTAGCTAACGTTAGTCAGTTTCACCAATGTTCCTTTTAGTTGGGCTTCTGAGAGAGATAGCAAAGGCTTGCGTTTCCCTTACAAGAAGTGAAACTAAGGAAGAGAGAGCTAGTGGACATAATAGTACCTTCCAATGGGAAATGGAGCCATGGTGTCTCAGAAGAAACAACAACCACTTCACTTTGCAATTGTTTCAACTGCTCCACAGCCAACTGGGAAATAAATTAGTTCCCGGGATCACAGAGGTTTGGGATAGCTTTAAATAACAATAATTTAAAATGCTTTGGCTAAAGTGCCTTGAGCTTAGGTCATAGGAAAAAAGTTTCCCACAATCCCATGGACTCCCACATTTTATTTACGGCAAACTTCTTGAAACCTGTATTCTGCAGATGTGTGGTTCTACCACACTTTAATTGTGTGTTTAAATTAAAAAAACCAGTTAGGAATTAAGGGAATTGTCATTCCCTGGGCGTTCTGCTATGGCAATAAATAATAAATAGGCTAACAACATTTTGTTCAGCGTTTACCCCATACAATGAAGAAGCTTTCCTTCTGTTAACCTGATTGGCCTGTTGCACTGCAATCTAGACATAATTTCTTTTCACTAAACAGATCATTGTCACTAGACTTGTGAACACGAGCAGCCACATCCTTAATTTCACACTGGTTGTACACTCACCAAAAATGGAAAAATGTACAAAAAGAAATTCAGAGAGAATTAAAAATAAATATTAGAATTCTTGGGAATATAATTCTATGGATTTTATTCTGTCTTAAACTATACACAAGATCACCACATATGTAGCTAATACTTCCTACCCATCTTCTCCATCAGATGCATTGGGAATTAAAGAAATTATGAAATTTCAGAGGGCGAAGAAGGCTGATTAATCTATGACATTGGAGGAAAGAAGGGTAGAATAAGGAAGACTTTATCAGAGGGAATGGAGGGTTGATTGATCAATTCGTTGGCCTTTCAAAGGGCAACTTGTGGATTTGAATGACGTGCACGGAGCTCAAGTCACACAATAGTTAGTGGTGCCAGGCCAAAGTCTAGTTTTAATCACCTTTTAAAAATGCAATTTAAGTTAGATTTAGTTAACTGTGCTGTATAGTGCTTTCAATTTGAAGAAAAAAATGGTATTCTTACAGTTGCTACATGTTTAATCTCCTCAAAGCACCTTTTCCTCTTCAATTCCAAACTGTTGCACAGCCATGATAGTTAATAGGACAGCATCTTTAACAAAGGTTGTGTCAAGATGACAACACACCTGACAAGATGACATAACCTGTTCACAGGTATTTTCATCCAAACATCTGAGGCAAATATGTTATAAGTGTTGTTAACATGAGAAATATTTTGCCTCTTGTCCAGAGGTGGATTTCTGCCGGTTCGCCCCGGATCAGGGAAACTGGTAGTGGTGGCAGCAGGAGGCTCCACTCATCTGCCTGGAAGCGAGCGGACTGGTAGTAAAATAAATTGAAACCCACCACTGCTCTTGTCCCCCTGTATGGATGCCTACATTTTCAGTCAAGTACATCATCATTTTCATCTTCTGCCTTATTAGAAATTATAATTTGGTAATAAACTTTGGAGGCCTTTAAGAACCAAACCCAAGGGCTCCATGTAGTCCTAGTGCCTCAGGGTGTATACTTTCTCCTAACACATGGCATCTTCTTCTGGGCATTTATTTCAGTGAGACAATTCCCTTTCACAGCTATTCTGTTGTGGTACTGTAAAATCAGCAGAGGGAGCACATTACTCAGAGCTTACCTGATGTATTTTATTACATAGGAAAACGAGATTTGTGTGTGTGTTTTTAATCATACTTTACTGCAGTTCAGAGGGCAGGTAAAAATAAAATGGTAGCATTTTACAATAGTTTTTGGAGTACTTTTTCTCCTAAATGGAGTACTATTTAGGAAACACCACTCATTTGATTATAGCTTTGTAAACTTCCACCAAGTAAAATCACCAATTAACATGGCTTGTATTAATAAATGCCATAGAATTCTATTACATTGTATAAACCTAGATTCACAGACTTCAAAATATAATCTGGACTCTGTATCACTTTTTGGCCAAATATTGACCAAATATTATTTTCTGTTATTACTTTTTGACCAACTTTCCAGCAATTTTACATTACTATTATCTCATAACTCATAACATAGATCGCTTGGACTGTAAATAATTGTTTCCAATTTGTATAAAAACTCTGAATCCACAAGAGCTATGGAAGGCCTTATATAGAGCTTGGGAGGTCTTTAGTTTGATTGATCACCAGGAGTTAGTACTAAGAAGACCTCCGCTCGGTGTCAGGAAAATGGACCCTATCACAAGGACAGAAGATTTGTTTTTCACTAAAAAAAATATGTGGGTCTTAAATATCCCAAATTAAGTGCATGTCATTCAGATGACAGCATCTTGTTTTCTGGTTTTAAAATAAGCTCATAGTCCCTTAAGAAATTTGGAAAACTTGGCCAAAAATGTACATAACACAATGACAGACAAATTTTGCCATTCAGGCCACTCAAGTTCTAACAGGTATTTCCTCCAAAGCCAACACATTTCTTTACTTTTGAAATATATCATCACCACCACCCCCATTCTGTACAGTCAACATGGAAATCTGCTTCCAGCCAAGGTTGTTACGCATGTACATAATTTAATAAGAAACAGATGTAAGAAAAATATATATTTGATTTAGAGTTAAATTATCATGTAAATGCAATCTTATAAATAAAAAAAGTTGTATAGAAATGAAAAGAATGAAAATGAAACCTTTTTATTTTGGCTAGAGGAACACACTGAAGTACAGATCCGATTTCATTTAAGCTCATTTTTATATTCTTGTTAAACACCCCCATTCCCACCCCAAGTTAGTATTGAGAAGATCCCTGCTCGGTGTCACAAAGGCAACATAAAAAAATGGCATATATATATATCTGTGTGTGTGTGTGTGTGTGTGTGTGTGTGTGTGTGTGTGTGTATGTATGTATGTGTGTGTATATATATATATATATGTATATATGTGTGTGTGTGTATATATGTATGTACGGTATGTGTGTATATATGTGTGTGTGTATATATGTGTGTACATATATATATATATATATGTGTGTGTGTGTATGTATGTATGCATGTATATGTATATGTATATGTATATGTATATGTATATGTATATGTATATGTATATGTATATGTATATGTATATGTNCCATTTGTCTGAAATGGTATAGGGTTTCCTGCCTAGGCAGGGGGTTGGGCTAGAAGACCTCCAAGGTCCCTTTCAATTCTGCTATTGTATTGTATTGTATCGAATAATTTCCTGCCTTCTTATTTATAATTCTGCAAAACATTTTAAATATTCACTTAATAAATTGTATTAAATTATAGTTTCTGGGGAAATGATGTGATTGTTTAAAAGAGAAGGGTTTTTTTAAAATAAATTGTTTGATGTGATAAAATGTTAATATTGAATATGCTTGGAGGGGGTCTACAGTGACATATCTCAAAGAGTTGTATTTATTTCTCAAGCTTGGATGAAGTGCATGAGAAACATTTTCTTACTTTGGCTTTGTTCCTGTTTGAAATATATTTGTCTTGTTAGAATATTCCACTTCAGCTGTTATCTGCCCCTTAGTATACCCCGAGAGAGCAAGCACATTTACCAATGTAGTTTTTTTCCTAACAGTTCTAAAAATGTGATTCAACAGCATAAAGTTAGCTTTCTAACAATTTTAAAAATGTTATTTAAATCACATTCTTAGAATTGCTATAAAAAACCTCAATGTGCTTGCTCTCTCGGGGTATACTAAGGGGCAGATAAAAGCTGAAGTGCAATATTCCAACAAGACAAATACAAAACAAAACATACTTTGGAAAAGTAAGTTCCTTATTGTCATTTTCCTGTTAGTTAAAGCAAACAAGGAACTTTTTAGCTAAAACTACCTCAGATGATGTTTTAGATTCTATTAATGCAAAATAATGAGGAGCAGTACATATATTAGAAAAGAAATAAACTAGAAGTATATGGCACTCCTGAATTTGGTGAATTTGAAATTCTTATCTTTGACTATTAACATTACAGTAAGGGCTGATAGCATTTTAAAGAGATAAAGAAACTTTTTTAAAAAGAATCATGCATTACTACAATTACCTACCTTGCAACCTTCACATGCATGCACTCCATAATGAAACCCAGAAGCTTTGTCCCCACACACCCTGCATTCAATAGCCATGAGAGAACAAGAGGCTTCTTCGTGAGGTTTACTATACATCTGAAGTTTTTCTGAGAAATATGGTGGAGACGGAGGCTCCACTTTAATTGCATCTGAATAAGAGGAAGATTTCAAAAGAAGAATTAACCAAATCCCTGATTATTACCAATTGCTCTAATTAGTATTGCAAATCTGAATACATTCAAGATTCAGATATTTAAAAAAATAGAATTAGATATACATAGTTACTGAAATCAGCAAATGGGAGTCTGAATTAGCTAACCTTGCCATTCTAGTGGTAAAAACCAAAGTAAAACATTGGTGGCCACCAATTACTGTATATTACATTTCTAAAGCAGAATCTGAAATCCAATTCAAAACATAGTTTCAACTATAGCAAACCCAATATTTTCTTTTTTTTTAACTAGATTTTTTGTGAAACAAAGACTGAAAAGGCCAGTGTCCAGGGGAAGGAGCTACAAGTTGAGATTTGCCCATATATTTTGCTGATTCTTCCAGACCCTATACTACAAAATGGGAATAATATCCTTTAGTATACATTCCCAAAACAACTAAATGGGGTGAAGTTTCAGGAGGCTACAACCTCAGTTGATTAAAGGATGGTGGTTACCATATGTATATATTAAAGATATGTACCCTTGTTCATCTTTGATATAGTTTACAGTCCTTAAAAGCTCTTAAAAGAAGGAATAGGTGCAGGAAGATGCAGGAATGGGAATACTCAGGAGCCAAGAAATATAGGTCTCTCTTGGGCCAGACTGAGTCAAAACAGGAGCCAAGTCAAAGAGGCATGGCTACAATTATGACTCAGTCTCTGGGCAGATTAGGACATAATAACCATTCCTGGACCCTCCTGCAAGTTACTCCATGGAATCAAAAAAAATCATTTCCCAAACTTTTAAATTGATTAAATGTACACAAAGTGATAGTTCTATTCTTTTTTGTTGCAAAGGCAAAGCAACAGCTTTTTTTTCTTATTTAAGGAAATAACTATAATCTTAAAATATGTATTGATTGTACCAGAGTCTTTTTTGCAGGTCCTAGTGGCCTACAAATTCATTTTTTTTGATGTAACATAGCAACAAAATAAGAATTTATATCATATAACTTATCAACCCCCTATCAATCAATCGGTGGCCTTTTACCATGGAAGAATGTATATTTTATCTGAATCCCAGTTTATATAAAATAAGATTTTTCAAATTGTGTTCAGTTGATGAAATTTTGTGAGACTTAAGGAATCATTTGATATTTGCCTCCTGATCAGGGGTCTTGGGAATTCTTTTTTTTTAAACTAACAGGTTTCACAACCTTAAAGCCCCTGATGTAAAGCTGTTAATTTATAAGCTATGGTGTTTGATACCAACTAAAGCTGAACACTCTCCTAATAACTATAATGATCAAGCAATAAAAAGTTTACGTACTTTGACAACTTTGAAATTTCACATCATATTTATAGTCAAGGGCTATCTGGTCAGTTCTTGCAAGAGGAAGGTCCTCATAATATGGAGAAGAAAGGCTGGAAAAATCAACAGTGCTGAAGGGCTTTATGTCAAATTCATGGGAGTGTTCATCCATTGTAGAAAGATCAACTGGGCTAATACCAAAGTTCATGGGCCAAAACGGCATTTCGGTATCAACCATTGTAAAGCCTGAAATTAAAAAGAAAAAGAGAAAAAAGTGAGACACAGTATTTATAAAATAAAAAATTACATCCTGGAAAAATAATAAACAAAGCCACAAATACTCAGAAGTGCTGTTCTGACACAATTCTGTAAAAAATTTTAAAAGCAACACATACCAACAATGTATGAATGGTTGCAAATCTTCTGTTTTTTTAGTTGTTATTTTTTTTATTAACATCAGGAGTGATATGTTGGATTATTTTTTCCCCTGGGGGAAAGGAATCCAATAAATCTAGGGAGGGGATGAATAATCAGCCAATGCATAATCTACCAGGAAGTTTATTACCATTAGTATGGCAAAATTAATTTTAGTGGGAATTGTGTGGGTGAGCTTCCTGTATATTACATTCAATGTGGATATTACTTAATTGTTTATTTGAAAATTACACTTTCTGAGCTGAAAAACCATTCCCTTAAACCAGGTGCAATTATGATTGTGGGTGTACACTTTACATATGTTCAGAAGCCTTCAAATATCACTTAAATTAATTATTCTACAAATGCATTATTGCTGCTGTCATTCTATAAAAAATGAACCCTTTGATCTTTGCTGTTGTCACTCTATAAAACAAGATTCCTTTGACCTTTGCTTGAGATCCCCAATATGATGCTTTTGAAGTTAAAAAAAATATCAAGTAGAAAAAGATGGTGATAGTTATGCCAAGACAGCTATGGAGAATTGGATCTGGTTAATGAGATGGTTAATGGTTAAGAATCTTAAACCTGCGGACTACATTAGAAAGTAAAAACATCATCATATAAGATGGTGATGGCTCACCAATTCTGTATAGTTACCAAGAAAACTACATAAATGTCCTAGATACTTACTAGAAGGTGACTTGTTATTGCAATATTTAAACCATTTTGCTCAGCAGAATTAAGTAGTACATAGTACAATTGTTCTTTCATACAAGGATTACTTTTTCAGACAGAATGCTGCCTACAACTGTAAAGAGTCAACTTTGGACTTCATGACAACTGATGAGACTCCACAAAATGCAGCAACAACCACTAAATTTTTGTATTTGCCTAGCACTGGAAAGCGAGTAAATGTTCTCCAAGTCTGGAATGGTAAAATACTTATATCTAAATTAGGATCAGACTAGATCTTATTAATAATCCTAAAAAAATAAGAAAGCACACACTGTACACCAATTTGAAAAAAGGGGAGACGGAGGAAGGAAAGCAATGCTTTTAGGCATATATAATACTAGCTTCGAAGTAGGCAACTGCTTGAATAGTACCACAGATATAAGATATGATACACACACACACACACACACACACACACACACTTATGTGCAAGACTAGAACTGTACGTCATAGAAGACATATACACACGCCTACATATAAACATAGAAAGCTGACTATATTTGGCTTGCTATTTCATTTGAAACATGGAATACTAGCATGCATGGACTTTACACCTTTATGTAATAAAAACTGGTTTGGCTCTGTTTACTTTGAACCAGCCAGTACTACCCTGCCTTCCTTCCTAAAAATGGTTTTTAAAATAGCAGCAATGGTCTATCGACTGTAATCACATTAGACTCGGGAGGAGAGGCTTTTGTCAACGTTTAACTTCCTCAGTGACATATGCAAACATATCACTGGCCCTGGGTGTCCCAGCTCTGGTAAAAGATGTACCCTGTGACCTGGGTGAGTCTGGGCATGCCTTAAAGTTTGCAATCCTCAGCACACTTCTTTGGAAATTCCCCCCCACTCCTCCATCAGTATTTTCTGCTGAGCAAATAATTTTCTCAGCAGGGTGGAAAAGTCTTTTTTAAAAAAGTGATTTTAATATTTTCAACCGCAAAACAATTAAAACTTTGGTTGATAAAGGTGTCATAAAAATGAAAAAAAAGAGAGAAAGCCTCAAAAGCAGAGGAATATATGGGCAGTCACTCTCTCTCAGCCCCACCTACTACTAGGTGGGGTCTTGGACAACTTGCCCTGGCCAACTTGTCCTGGCTATCTTGCTCGGGCTGACTCACCACAGCACAACTTGTTATGGGACAATTCAACATAACTCAAGAGAGAGACGAATTAGTTGCAGTGGGCCTTGTCTTGCTTTAGATTTGAACCTTCTAAAGTTAGAAGTCCTCAAGGCTGGGGGTGAGCTGCAATTCTACTTGTCCCTCTGTTGAATTATCTCATGTTGAGTTGTCTCGTGGCAAGTTGGCCAGCACAAGTTGTTCCATTCCAGAATTGTTGGGGGGGGGGGAAATGTGAAGAGAGTACATTAGCTGTGCTTCTGGAGCTCTTGAAGAATGTGTGTGTGTGTGTGTGTGTGTGTGTGTGTGTGTGTGTGTGTG